TATACTTTTAATATTTACACGCTTTCCCCCAAACTCCCGTGTTCCAATTTTTAGAAATATGTTGTTTCCCCATATCACCGTTTCCCCGTGTTCGTTTCCCATTTACACCAATTATGCATCACCGACTATAGAGTATAGACAATATATACATGTAATAAAATAAAATACAGTATGGTGAGTTCAAAATGAAAGATAATACTCAAGATTCAAATTTTATGACTACGTCTACAAGTATGAGGTCCTTATTTAAAGTCACACCAAATAAATAAATAAATAAATAATTATAAAATGAATAATCGTATAGTTTTACAACAGGTCTCTTTAGTAGTAGCAATAATAGGCCAGGCCCCCATGGTGAATAAATTCAATTATAGACTATAGTAAATACATTTGCTTGTTGCAATTAGCTGTTTGCCTCAGCTACTACTTGCTCGCCACCCCTATTTAAGTCCTTTATTCAACCCTTCTTTTCTTTCAAGCACCATTAAAGAAAAAACCCATTTCTCTCCCACGTAAAGAAAACACACACACACACACACACACACACACACACACAAAAAAAAAAAATCTGAAAAAACACACACAACACACATACCTGAATGTCTACCACCATTATTTGCATTGCATTTGCTCACATCATCTTCTTGCTGTGTTGTACAGATGAAGCAATGGGCAGGCATTATCCGGTACTGCCTAGCGCCCCTTCTACTGCATTGCCGAAAGCTGCTGCGGTTGCGGATTACGTGACTGTGAATCCAGGATTGAAACCTCACAAGCAGAGAGTTTTCCACCGCAGGGAAGTGAACAACTGCATGCCTAAAGGGTTTCACCGTTCGTCGGCTCCTAGTCGCTACGTCAATTACCAGACACTTGGCTCTTTTAGGTGCTTTTCCGACACACATTCTCGCAAACATTAGCCATCTCATCGTATGAAGCTTTCAGCTTCAGGCTAATTTTTTTATTATGTAGTTGTGGATTCAAACACAGTTTTTGCCTAGAAAACTGACCTTTCTTTTAGCACTATGTATTAGTAAATGGATTTTCAAAGCATTAAATATATATTTGCCGTTAAATGAGGTGATAAGAGAGAATTAATGATTGAAAAAGTTGGATTAGTAAGGATAAAACCAAAAAAAAAATGCAGTTAATGCATTATTAGAACTCTAAAACGACAGATAATATGAAGAGTAAAAAAAACCTAAGGCAACAGATAATTTGAAAATGAGGAGGGGATATAGTTTAAGCCAGTCGATAAATAAACAGTAATTGGGGTACCAAATCAATAACAGGAAAGACTGTATTAGGATAGGACAAGTTGACAAAAGGAATTTTAAGTTAAGAAATAAATTAGTTTTCCGAAATATAAAGCGAAAAGTGCTCAACCATTTCTGGTGAATACACATAGTGCATGTAACTGAATCTGGGAGTTTGCTGCAAACTAAAAATTCGGAAATCCCAGATAAACTAACTGTACAAATCGTCTTCATCAGCTCCAACAGCAGAGGCTGCAAATGGATCGGATCCAGATGCCGCTGCCCCAGGTGCTGACTCGGTAAACCGGAACTCTGTTCCGAATCCACGAGACTGCTGCAGGGTCTGAGCAAAGGCCTGGTACTTGCGTATATCAGCATCACTCACACTTCTACGAGCGTATTTCATGGACTCTTCGAAATGTGCAGGGGTTATTTCGGAAACTTCGTCATCAATATCCTCCTCCATGGAATCTGGATTGTTCTTTCTCCTAGTCTCCCTTTCTATGTCCTGAAATAAGCACCACAGTCGGTATATCAGGCTTAAAGATCGCAACAAATTAAGGGCTTGTAACTTCACTTAGAAGCATTTTAAAGACGGTGAAAACAAAAAGGTGTTTTTCTGTTCTTAGGTTATACAAAACAACCCAAGAAATAGAGTACACGCTAAATATCTTCGTGCAGCAAACATGTCAAAATACCAAACAAGAAAGCACGGACATAGTTGTGTGTCTGCTATGTCCCAGTCAAACGTAATTTCTTAGCAGGGTGAACGAAAACAGTTTCTACATCTCAAGTGGCCCTGTACACCATGAGAGTAACGAAAATTCCACAATTATGAAGTCACTCCAAATAGTTCAGGCCAGAAAATGATGAAAAGAACCAGCAGAAAGATGCTAATTTCTGGGATGAAGTCCAATTCCAACCTCAAAAATCTTGATAATTAGAAATAGGGATTTCAATAAATTTTACAATGCATAACATGAACTCCAGCAAAATAATCCAGGATAAACCTCAAAACAAGATATGTTTATGAAGTTGGAAGGCATAGAGAAGGATCGGATGTTATATATATCAGCAAGATTATAAAACATCCATTCTTCACACAGCCAGATCCATTTTCAGCCATGCAATTTTAATCACATTTATAAGATCTCATATATCCACAAGTATGAAGGAAAAATAACCAACGAAGGTGGATGATGACATACCTTCTCAATGTTCTCCCTTATGGCATATTTGCAAGCCCTCTGGCATATTTCTGTGATATCTGCACCACTAAATCCTTGAGTATACTTGGCAAGAGCTCGCAAATCAATATTTTTCGAAAGTGGAGATTTTCGGAGGCAGGCTTTGAAGATCTGGTGACGAGAATCCTCATCTGGCAGAGGGATATATATTAACTGATCAAGACGACCTGGGCGAAGAAGTGCAGGATCAATTATGTCGGGTCTGTTAGTGGCCCCAATTATAAAAACGGTCTTCTTTGCGTTCATGCCATCCATTTCAGTCAGAAGTTGGTTAAGAACACGGTCTGCCGCACCACCGGCATCTCCACCACTGCTTCCTCTCTGCACAAAATAGTAATATTCACTGCCTGTAAGGTACTGTTCTATTTGAGCACATGTAAAACACTAGATATGACCATCTTGTATCATTTCTTTAATTTATTATCTTTTTATTTTAATAAGATTTACGCTATTTAGCTTTTGGACGATTGATTTCTTTTGTAAATTCTATTTAGATAATTCATGTATGATTGATTATTCATGACTGGAAAGGGTATATTACCTGAGTAGCAATAGAGTCAAGCTCGTCAAAGAAGAGAACACATGGAGCAGATTGTCTAGCCTTGTCAAATATTTCACGGACATTAGCTTCACTCTCTCCAAACCACATAGTGAGTAGTTCAGGTCCTTTTATACTGATAAAGTTGGCCTGACATTCATTTGCGATTGCCTTGGCTAGCAGAGTCTTACCACATCCAGGAGGACCATAGAAAAGAACACCCTTTGAAGGTGACATACCAAATTTCTCAAATTTCTCTGGATGTTCCACTGGGTATTGAACGGTCTACAAGATAATCAAGAGGTTATCAGTGATCAAATTGAATAAAATGTACAACATTAAACATACTAGGCCCAAACTCAAATATGATTTCAGAATATAAATTACCTCCTGAAGCTCCCTCTTGACATTTTCAAGCCCTCCGATATCTTCCCAAGAGACATTGGGTACTTCAACAACCTGTTCACAAATTGAGACAATAATATAATGAAAATACAATATCATACAGCAACTCAATATGAGATATGGATATTATAGAGAATGTTTGGTATTCTTTAAGATGTTTTGGGGAATTTTGTGTATGCTTTCTGGAATATTAGCGAGATGATTAGCATGTTCACAATATTTTGGGGCAAGAAAGATTGTATTGACAGGAAATGTATTGGGGAAAGTGTGGTAATCTTTGGTTTATTTTTGACAAAATGAAAACATTTTTGGACATAAAAAAATAAAATATAACCACAATTTCAAGTTCACTTACCGTCTCCCGCAAAGCAGAAGGATTGCTTGTCCCTAGAGCAGTGTGGAAGTGCTCATTCGAGACAGCCATGGAGTTGAGTATCTCAGCATCAATTGTATCATCTTCCAAATCAATGACATCCATTTTCTCTCTGATACACTGGAGCGCTGCTTCAGTGCAGAGAGCTGCAAGATCCGCACCAACATATCCATGTGTGTCCTTTGATATTCTTTCTAAATCAACCTGCAAATACATCGAATCGGGCGTCAGTATAAGTGAATCCTTTTTAGCAAAACTACGTAATCTAAAAAAGAGGTGAGTGCGCTACATCATCTGAAAGCTTCATGTTCTTTGTATGAATCCTAAGAACTTCAAGGCGTCCAACCTCATCAGGGACACCAATGTCTATTTCCCTGTCAAACCTACCAAACCTTCTAAGAGCCGGGTCAATGCTGTTGGGCCGGTTAGTGGCCCCCATGACAATAACATGGGCACGAGATTTCAACCCATCCATGAGAGTCAAGAGTTGAGAAACAATCCTCCTCTCAACTTCACCGTTGGTCTTCTCTCGCTTAGGTGCAATCGAATCAATTTCATCAATAAATATAATAGATGGAGCATTCTTCTCAGCCTCCTCAAATGCCTTTCTCAGATTGCTCTCACTCTCTCCAGCCAGTTTGGACATAATTTCCGGCCCATTTATCAAAAAGAAGAAAGCGCCAGTTTCATTAGCAACAGCTCGAGCAATTAAAGTCTTTCCAGAACCTGGGGGGCCAAAAAGCAAAATTCCTTTGGGGGGTTTCACACCAATAGATTTGAAAAGCTGAGGATGCCTCAGTGGCAACTCCACTAATTCACGGATCTGAGCCATCTGCTTCCTAACGCCACCCACATCATCATAGCCAACCTCGTCCAGCCTTTCCTCATCCTCTCTCCTCACAGGTTCCCCTTCACAGAAGATCTCAGTATCAGGGGCCACAACACAGTACTCCCCTGGATCAGCCTCAACAACTTTAAATTCCACACTTCTCATCCCTCCTCTAACAAGAAAATGGTCTCCTTTCCTCACAGGGCGATATGCCTCCAGAAAGTAAGCTGCAGGGGCAATAATGAAAAGACATATTTATAAGCCATTAACATAAAATTGATTAATTCAAATACTATTAAGCAGACAAGATGCTGAAAAAGCTAAGCAATTGGGTTTACGTTTGAGATATGCATCGAAAAGATCCCCAGTGATCCCTTCTATTGTATCATCCAAGGGGAGTATGTGGACGCGCTTTCCATATTTAACATCTGGGCATTGATGCACAGATACAACGTCCCCTAGACGAACCCTCAAATTTGATCTGACAACCTTGTTCATCCGAATCTTTGGCTCTTCACAAGTTTCATCAGCAAGGGCAATGCAAACTGTATCCTTTCTTTTCTTCCCCTGGAAACAATAGCAGGACATTCAAAATTTCAGCACATCCAAATAAAACATAATACATCTCAAAAGGTTAAGGGAGCATGTGTACTATCTCATCTTCTTTTCATGATATGGCATAAATCGTACTAAATGTTCTGAGACTTTTGTCTAATATTGTCAGTTTAAACATGTATTTGGGATATAATCTTTCTTAAAACACTATGCTAACCACCATTGAAAACCCAGGGGACACTCTAGCGTGTTTCAAGAAAAGGTTAAAGCAATTTTGAGCAGACCAAACAAATTAATTATAACTCATAAGGTCATGAGCGGATCAGATGCCCCAGACACAGCCCCGAGAAACAAATAAATTCTTAATCAAGCCACAATTCAATTATGATCGACAACTTCATTGCAGCCACAACCTAACCAAACCGGAAATAACAAATTCCTCATTAGTGACTTAACTCAAAACCCCTCTTTTGCACTTGCTACTTCACTCGGATCAAAAGATATACCCTAATTAACCCCCTCCCCAAATTATTCTTATAAATATTGAGACATTCAAATAAAACAGTAAGCAAATTTCATCGACGACTCTTCCACTAATTCATTCGACCTATTTTCCCAAATAGTTAGCTTTGAAACATCGTAGAAACAGAAAACCTAACCCCTCTTCCCACAAAAAAAAATATTAAAAAGAAAAAACGGATAAAAGTATGTGAAGTCAAAGGAGTTAGAACCTTAATCAAAATAGTGTCTCCGCGGAAAAGCTGGAGCTTTTCCATAGTGGCGGGGTGGAGAGCGACAACGGAGTTGTCATCGTTGACCGCCTCATCAACGACGAGCCGATTCGCTGCCTTTTTCCTCTCCAATATCGCGGTCGAGAAGTCCTTCTTCCCACCTTTCCTGCACAGAACAATAAAAAAAAAAAAATCGTCAGAATTCCGGCGATTACTGCAACCCCAAAACAAGCGCGATCCATCACAGGCGGTTTCCCGAGAGCACGGCGAGTTAGGGTATACTTACGCGTCAGACGACTCAGCTTGGTGACTCATATCTCCGACGATCTGAATAACAGGGGTTTCGAGATGTGAATCCGCTTGGTGAGAAGAATTGGAGATGTAGAGATATTTTAATGGGGTTCGTTCGTATACGTATATATATAGAGCGAGTTGTACGCCGTAGTACTATCCAATCCTAGTTATGTTCGACTTCAGAGTCCTCACCCTTCTTCAATTGGGATGCGTGTATCTAATTAAATATATTTATTATGAGTATTAATTGGTGGTTAATTTTGGAATTGTGGGGGAAACTATGGTATAATTTGGCCTTTCTAACTTCAATTATTAGTTTATTGATTTTTTTATTTTCTTTCTATTGGCTAAAATAATATTAAATTTTGAACTATTTTCATTGTATTATTATATTTCCATTTTTATTTTATTATTTTGCTTCAGAAAATTTTTCGATGTGCGGGATAACCTTGTCCGAACTAGTCGCTCGAACCAAGCAGTCCCGCACGTTGCCGGAAAGACTTACATGTATTATCTATAAATGCAATATTATTCTCCACAAAAAAGTACACATTTACAAGTTTTACACATTCAACACACAACACAAAACATGCATTCGAAAAGAGCCAATTTTGATATTTTGATGGAGTTAAATCGATCTCCATCAAAATTTCCTACTAATTAAACATCTTACAATTTGATAGATATTTTTTTAAAATTGGGCCCTTGGTAATTAATGTGGGCCAAGAACGGGTCAATGGTGAGCTTCCAAGCCTTTTTTGATCTGGCCCAAATTGAAACACTTGATTTTTCTTTTTAATTAATTTTGGGGTTGCTGGTGGAAGAATGTCTAACATGGTTCAATAGTTTTTATTATTACAAACATGAAATGTTTGTAAATTTTATCAATTGGAAAGTTTTATAATTATATTAATCTGAAATGGACATCGAAATAGAGAATTCCGATATTATATTTGATTCAATCAAGTTGACTGCCTAAAAATATAGTCAACACAATTTTTATTTTATTTTTTTAGAATAGTAGTCAACACAATTTTGTTTATCCACGTGCATAGGGACGGTGATTTACTCAACTTGGATCAAATACGATTCGAATTAATGCGGATCGAGTCAGAAAACAATCGAATCTAAAATCAACCTATATGACTTATCAAAAAATAAATAAAATTAACCTATATGAATAGATCTAAAATGAATTGGATTTGGACTAATCCAGATAGATCCATTGCATTTTAACTCAACTAATGTGGATTAATATCTAGGGATAATTACCAATAACCCCATCTAGGAAAATGAGTTAAGGAAACACCCCCTCCAAAAAATAATTAGAGAAAACCCTCTTAGCTAATATCCGCCCAAGTGATATTTTTATAATTCCAAAACTACCCTTAATTGTCTACTATACTCTTTCAAAACCCTAATTTTATTTTCTCTTTTCCGTCTCTTCTCTCGCGTCTCTTCTCTGCTTTCTTTTTTCTCTCTTTTATATTTTTCTCTCATTCTCTCTTATCGAAAGATGAAGAACCAACCACCGACGTCACCGCCACAACAACAATGCCAATTCCGTTGAAGCCGTCGTCGTCGTTGTCGTTGCCGTCTCCGTCGCCGTCGTTGCAGATCTTAACAAAAGCCATAAAGATGACGATGATTTTGATAGCGATTCTGAGTTCGAATGCCACGATTGCTACATCGGCGGCGAAAAGAGGTAAATTTGTCGATCGGAATCGGATTTTGATGGGTGGTGGTTCTGCTTTGGTTGGTGGTGCGAGTTGTAATTTTATTTATTTATTTGTAATAAAAAAACTGTCGTAATATCAAAGTAAGGTGGTGATGGTGTATTGTGGCGGCGGTGTGGTGACGATGGGGAGGCATATTTAAGGTTTTTGGGTGGATTGGGCGGATGATGGCGCGTGTAGAGAATTTCGCGCAAGCTAAAACCTTAATCGACTATGTACATGTTCATAGTCGATTAAGCTAATCGACTATGCTCTGTAGTCGACTAAGGTTCATCGACTCCAATTTTTTTTTTTTTGGATTTTTTGTTTATTGATTATAATTTTATAAATCATTTATAATGTTTGTATATTTTTATTTTTTTTGTAATATATAGTTGATTTTGCATTTTTTCGCAGTTGTGATTTGTTATTTTTAGTAGCAGATTTTTAATCGACTATGCTCTGGTAGTCGATTAAAGTTGATCGATTCCAATTTTCTTTTTTGTTTTTGTTTTTTTATTTATTGATTCCAATTGTGTAAATTAATTATAATGTTCTTATATTTTTTGTTTTTTTGTAAAATATAGTTGATGTTGCATTTTTTTGCAGTTTTGATTTGTTATTTTTAGTAGCAGAATTTTGATCGACTATGCTTCATCATAGTTGAATAATATACTATACTGATATAGAAAAAAAAATTAAAGAATTTCCTTAATCGACTATGAAGCATAGTCGATTAAGGCTATGCTCCATAGTCGATTAAGAAAACTGGTATAGAAAATAAGGGGGGGAAAAAACGGAAAAACGGAAAAAACAAAAAAATAAATAAATTGCTGAGCGCGTGACCCAGTGATGATGTGGCGGGCGGGGGCAAAGCTGGAAAACATATTAGCTCAAAATGGGTGTGGACTTTTCTCAAATGGACTGAAATATTTTGGATATCTTTCCATTAAAAAAAGTAATGATGGGGTTTCTTCAAAGAACCCCTAATATCTAATACTCCATCTGTTCCACAATAACTGTCTTTTTTTTAAAATATTTTCGTTCCATATTATCTGTCACTTTAGATTTCCAATACTGCATTAAATGCATTTTTCCTGTTTTAACCTTATTAATGAAACTCTATTCATTAATTTTCTCTTATAAATCATTAAATAATAAATGTTGTTTTAGTCATTTTTATATGATTTTTCTAAAATCAAGATATATTTATTGAGTTTCTTAATTTTTGTGAAAAGTGAAAAGTGACAATTATTTAGGAACGGATGAAGTATAATATAAAAATAATATATTAAAAAATAATTAATTCAAAAACTAGATACCGGCTACGAGAAATTATATTCCATTTCGATTATAAACTGACCGAGCGATCCTGTTTTCAATTCGGGCACACAGTTCCGTAAAATTCAACGGCTGCGACTATAAAAACGTCGACCGAGACTTTTCCCCCGCGCCCAAACTCAACCCCGATCCTTCCCCGACACCCTCCACGGCTCCACCCCCACCCCAACAAACCCCACCCCCACCCCCACCCCCAACAAACCCCTGTAACATTTCCAACTCAAAAGAACAAGCAATTTGGTTCTGGATTGCCATTCTCTCCTTGGCGCGAAACCAAATCGCCGAGGGGGAAGCCATGTCGATTTCTCTGTTGCAGCAGCTAAACGGCGAGAGATCGGTGGTATTGCTCTTTGTAATTCAAATTCTCTTCTCCACCTCTCTCTCTCTCATCCCCGAAGCCGTTTCCCTCTCTCTACTCTCCCTTTTTGCTCTCTGCGTTGAGATCTCCGCCGACGATGCGTCCAATCCACTCGGCCATTTCTTCAAAGCCAGGTTAAATTGAGTTATTTCATTCCCTTTGGATCATTTTTTTTGTTCAATTTTAGATGGAAAATGTTTTATCTCTTTGCTTTTAATGTAATATTTGGTTGGTGGAGTTGGTTGCGATTTGTTTTGTGGAAGGCTTTGATGATTTGGTTATAGTCATGCATAACTGAATTATGATCATGTTGTTTCGTTGGTGTTTGTTTGAAGAATTGAGGAGTTTATTCCAGTGCTTTTTTCCCCATCTCTAAGTGTGTTTTGTGCACTCTGTCAATTTTAAACTGCGTGAGCAGTTGTTGATTTTTGTGGTAATCTTACGACCTTCTCTCTTTCCCAAACGATCTGCTCAGGGGCATCAAATTGATTTAGGACGGCAAAATAGCTATTTGATTAGGGGAAGGATTGTTAATGGACATAGATGGAAATGTTTTAAGGAAAGTAGGGGAAAATAAGGGTTTTCGGACTCAAATACGACCGTTGTCTTTAATTTTTTTAACACTTTCGTGCTGCATCAGGATTTTACCATTGTTGGTGAACATTAAATTTGTTATAAAAATTTCAACATAACTGTGACGTGAGTGCTTAGATTTTTATGGGAATTGCCTGGGTTTTTTGTCATATTATAATGAATGTAAACTGGCAGTTTGATGGATTTTCATATTATATTTGTTGACGTTAGACTACTCGAAAGTTTGAATTCCGCTGGATCGTTTTCAAAAGCTTCTGTGTTAATTTTTATTGGAAATAATGATTTGGATAAATGTATGTATAGGCCTGGAGCTTCATCTGGAGTTCTACTGGGTGCAGTAACCGTGCCTAGCCTCCTGGTCTCAAGGTTGATACAGACTCTTAGGGAAGAGTCAATAAATGAAGTTGGAACTGAAGGTACCCTCTTATTTATTTGAAATTCATTTTTATTTCCGACTTTTTCTTGTCTATCAGGAGTCCTATGTAGTGTCGCAATATTTCTTGTTCTTGCAGCGAAGGCTGTTAAATACATAATATGTAAAAGAAGAGGAGACAGGAGAAGCGAAAAAAGACTACATTTCATTTGAAACTTGCAATGGAATGGTGTCCGTGTTTTATTTTTAATTCTTGTAAAGGAAGGATGGCAACATGATAATTGCCTATTTGTGCTGATTGATTTTATTTTTATCTTTCTTGAACTATGCGATCTCAAGAAACTTGTTCCTAGTTATGGTTGAGTCCAATTACACTTGCTATCAAGTTTGTTAAAAGAAATGAATCAGTGATCTTAGGTATTTTATTATCATGTAGAAGTTGTATTTGAGCTTAGACCTTATTATTATAATTTTTTTGGTGGGGGTGGGGGAGGGAAGATTTAACCTGACCTTGTGAGTTTTGACGCTTCTGTCTTGCACTGTTTTTTATGTTTTTGGAGATTGAACTTTTGTAGCTTATAGACAATGACCTTTGCTCACCTAGATTGCAATTTAACAAACAATCCTTTCATATCTTCTTTATGTAATGCATATTTCAAGTTGGTTTACTCATGAATGTTGCTTTTTACTGTTATGTTTTCTGTCCTAGGAAAAACTTATAAATGGTAAAATGCCAAATTATTTTAGCAAACGAACTAGTTTCTGGTATGCTAAGTAGTCTCAACTCCATATGTTTCAGGTTGTATTGCTACCAGTACATTGTTGCCTTATATTTCAGTTATGGATATAAGCAGTTTCTTTTGGTGTGTTTTTTTTTTTTTTTGTTAGTTTTGTACCATCTATGCAGATGTCTTACACATACTGCTGGTTGCCCCTATTTCTACTTTCAACATTATGAATACTTTGCTCTGCCTTTCTCTAATTAATGTGATTAGTTGCATTTTATCTCCTAACCGATTCTGTATTTTGTTATTGTGTTTCATAGGCATAGAATATCTCAAGTTGCAATATTGGGCTGCATTTGCAAGTTGTTTCGCCGTGCTAATTTTCCTTTCCACTGTGTGTCGGTGGCAGAGAAAGGATAGTGATTCCATCTGTTCTCTCTCCAATTGTAATCGAAGATATGGTTTCATTTTCACAATCTTGCTTGTAGGATCATTATATGGGGGTAAGTGAGCAAGTCTTCCATTATCATGCTTATTCAGTTATTCCTGTATTTACTGAATCATTTGGAGGACGGGGACTGTGGATTTCATTTTGGACTTGGAAAACTGATTTTTATTTTTTGTTAACATCTTTTCATGATAATGCACATCTGTTTAGTCAGAAAACTACAGGATATGCATGCCTTACTCTTATATTCTTTTCAAATTTCTGCTTTTTTGCAGGGTGGTTTTTATCCTTGATGTCACTATGGGTGCTCAGTCATGGATTGGCAGCAGTTTTGTTAATAGTGAAGATCCTTCACATGTTTCCTGCATGTGCTTCCATTGGTAAATTTTGTTACTTTTCTGGCTCCATTACCTGTTGAAATGGATTTGTATCTTTATAGCGATAGAAAATAAATAACAAAAATAGCTCCTCAAATCTGTTGTATGATTTGCATGCTTCGATTTAATTCAGTTATTTTGTGTGTGTGTGTGTGTGTAAGAGGGAGATATGACTTTCTATTCGTCAGCACTTGTATATGCTTCTATTTTCAGGAGAATCTCTTCTAGTGGCTTCTGGCATTGTTATCTATTTTGGCGACATGGTAGCATGTACTGCTGCAAAAGTTGGTTTCCATGCCTTCAATTTTCCTAATGTATTACAAGATGAGTAAGTATCTTCTTTTTGGCTGATCAAAGTCTGTTATTGAGCAGATCTCTAGTTCAAAGGCACTCCTTGTACAAATTGGGATTAATAGAAGCGAAATAAGCACCATTATTCAGGTTTTGCTCTCAAAAAGTCTGTTAGCAATAGCTATTCTAGGAAATCACTAAAATACATTTAAGCCATTTATTGGTAATTTTATTTATTGCCTATTTCATGCAGGGAGTTGTTTTCGGCCTCCTCCTTTTTCCAGTGTTCTATAAATATGTTCTTCGAACATTGGAATACTTTGTCAGCCTGCTAAGGAATGGGGGTTTGGAGAACAATGAGATGAAAAGATCCCTTGTTTTCTATGCTTCACTCGCTTTTATGCTGCTTGTTGTTGTCCCGTCATGGATGCAATTTGTACATCCTTTTCACGTGCATCCGTTGTTATGGTATATGTTATCCTCAAATTTTGGGTTCATTATCTTTTCTATTTCTGCAATTGAATTTTTAGAGGAAGCATGCATTTACTTGTGAAAGATTGTGTGATTAAGAAGATTTAATAAACATAGAGTGTTTAGTGGTTGTAATGAGTGTTCATATCGTTATCATAACCAATATCCTGAGATTTGGGTCCACTTCCTTCGGGAAGGAGTAATGATCAATTTCTTTTGATAGCACTAGATCATTGTCAACCTTATGTTGAGAATCTCTCTATCTATGAATGTAAAAATTCGCTATAGAAAACATGATGCATGGCCGTTCTGCTCGTCTGAACTTTCGAAAAAATTCGATGAGAAAAGGTTTGAAAGGCTTTGTAGAATTTCTCATAATGCAATATAATAACATGAAGAAACACATGATGGAACGTGGTCAATACCTGAAATTTTCAAGTTGCTTGCGCTGATTTGCAGTTATAGTTTTCAGGAAAAGCTCCCAGTATCTTTGCTGACTATATACTATTTTCTCTTAATAGAATTAGCAAATGATATACATTTTTTTTAATCTTCTGTATTAGCTTATATTTTGACATTTTGTCCTCCATATTCTTGTTCTCAGGGTATTTGATTTTGTTTTGTCGGAACCACTTAAGAGACTGACATTATGTATCTATTGGCTGGTCATCATATATGTATCTGTTGGACGATTTTACAATATTTCAAAGAATAGTAAGACCGAGAGGATACTTCTACGCAAGTACTATCATCTGATGGCTGTCTCAATTTTCGTTCCTGCCCTTATATTCCAGGTACTTTGAGATGTAAAGTTAGATTTGTGGGTCCTGCCTGTAATTCTCGTTGCATCTAGTGAATTGTACTAACAGTTCATTTATTTGCAGCCAAAGTTTCTTGATCTTGCTTTTGGTGCAGCTTTGGCAGTGTTTCTCTTGTTGGAAATTATACGAGTAAGTCATGTGAAAGAAAGTTGCTTTCTCTCAAATGTTTTACACCATTTTTTGCCTACATCAAATTTCGACAATTTCGTGGAATTGTATTAGTAGAATAGCGGCAATCTACTGAAATATCTACTAGTAGCTAATATTGATTTTTCTACTTGTAGGAAACTGAAATTTCATGCTTTCCAGTTCCTACTTTTCAACACTGATTCTAGTATATAATTACATCTAAATAAACCATTTATTGCACTATTTAGCTGAAGATAAGATAACAATCAGTGGCAAAGCAGTCATGTTACTCTCCATAAAAATAGAATCTTATTTTAACATTTCCAAGATCTTTCTGATCTGGACATGTTTGCAGTGCAGTTATGGGGTAATATGCATGATAAGACTTAATAAAGACATATTTGAATCCTTTTGCTTGTTTGAATGGGGCATTAAAATTTTTGGTTTCCTTTCACCGTTCGAGCATTTTTCATTTCTCTTCTGGAGTAAATAAAATCAACAAGATAGAAGTCATGTAACAAAATGGAGGAATCAAGAGAGATCATCTCATGTAGGAAGTGCAGGGTAGAACTTGTCTTTCCTCAATCACCCCTTTCTTAAACAGAATGGCAAGAGTCCCCTGGCTTCTGTTGTGTCAATAATACATTTGTGGTTTATTCTGTCAGTTTGCTTCTTTTTGTGTCGATAATGCTTTTGTGGTTTACGATGTTATTTTGCTTCTTTTTATGTCAATGGTGCTTTTTCCTTTTATGGTTTATTATTCTATTTATGGCATGTTTATTGGGCTCTAAAATAATTTTGCTTTTCCTGGTTAGATATGGAAAATCTGGCCATTAGGTCATCTAGTCCACCAATTCATGAATGCCTTTACGGACCATCGTGATTCGGATCTTCTTGTTGTCAGGTACGTGATTCTTCCCTTATTGCTTTTCATATTATTTATTTATGCCTGGTCTTTCCACAAATCCCTTTTTGATAATTCCCTCCATTTATTCATTGTGCAGCCATTTTTCACTGTTATTGGGATGCGCAATTCCAATTTGGCTGTCCTCTGGTTTTACTGATCGACCAATTGCCCCTTTTGCTGAAATTTTGAGCCTTGGTATTGGAGATACAATGGTACTTATCTGCTTGCCTTTTTCTGGCAATTAATTCATTGTTGGCATAATCCTCGATATGATGTCGAGGCAAATTTTGAATGCTCCAAATGCTTT